GAAATAGAATGAGGAAGAGGAGAAGGAGGAGGACAGAGTAGGAAAAAGAGAGGAGGAAGAGGAGGAGGAGGAAGACCACTAAGCCTCCCTTCTCCTCTCATCTTAACTTTGTCAACAATGGGGGACTGGTGTGAGTGTGTGAGTGTGTGTGTGTGTGTGTGTGTGTGTGTGTGTGTGTGTGTGTGTGTGTGTGTGTGTGTGTGTGTGTGTGTGTGTGTGTGTGTGTGTGTGGTGAGTGTGTGTGTGTGAGTGTGCGTGTGTGTGTGCGTGTGTGAGTGAGTGAGGTGGGTGTGCGTGAAGGTGAGTGAGGTGTGTGTGTGTGTGTGTGTGTGTGTGTGTGTGTGTGTGAGTGTGTGTGTGTGAGGTGTGCGTGTGTGTGTGCGTGTGTGAGTGAGTGAGTGAGTGTGCGTGACAGGTGAGTGTGTGTGTGTGTGTGTGTGTGTGTGTGTGTGTGTGTGTGTGTGTGTGTGTGTGTGTGAGTGTGTGTGTGTGTGTGTGTGTGTGTGTGTGTGTGTGTGTGTGTGTGTGTGAGTGAGTGTGTGGTGAGTGTGTGAGTGGTGTGTGTGTGCGTGTGTGTGTGCGTGTGTGTGTGAGTGGTGAGTGTGCGTGACAGGTGAGTGAGTGTGTGTGTGTGTGTGTGTGTAGTGTAGATGTGTGAGTGAGAGTGTGTGTGTGAGTGGTGAGTGTGACTGTTAATCTCTCCGTTTTAAGTATATTAACTCATCCTAATTTGCACTTTAGCAACTTAACCCTAGTGTAACCTGACCTGAGCCTGACCTGACCTGACCTGACCTGACCTGACCTGGCTAACAAAAGGTTGTCCAGTATTTGTGTCTGTTTTGTGTCTGTTGTGTGTGTGTGTGTGTGTGTGTGTGTGTGTGTGTGTGTGTGTGTGTGTGTGTGTGTGTGTGTGTGTGTGTGTTTTGTGTCTGTATCTGTTTGTGTCTGTTTTTATGTCTGTGTTTGTGTCAGTTGGCCCATGACAGACTGTTTTACGGACATATTCATTCCTGTTGTGTACTGAATAACTGGGAATATTCATGGTGACTTAATTACGGTGTTTTCGATTCCCAATTCCCATTCCTACTATTCCGGGAATGGTTTGTGTTCTGCTTCGTTGAGTTCGTAGTTATATTGTCTTTATTTTTCTTATTTTTCTTCGTATTTACTCTTTTGGTTTTTTCTTTTATTTTCTTCCTCTTCCTCCTCCTCTCCTCTTTCGTCGTCTTCTTCTTCATCTGCATCTTCTCTTCTTCTCTTTCGCTCCTACACCTTTCTCTTCTATCCGTTTATTATCATTTTTCTCTTCCATCTTTCCTTCTACCCTCCTTCCCATCCTCTCTTCCATACTGTCACCCTCGCCTCCCTCCCCTCCCAACATCCCTCCCTCCCCTCCCCTCCCTCCCTCCCTCCCTCCCCTCCCTTCCTTCCTTCCTTCCCCTCCTCCCTCCCTCCCTCCCTCCCTCCCTCCCCTCTCCCACCCTCCCTCCCTCTCTCCCTTCATCCCTCCTCTCTCTCTCCCCCTCCCTCTCTCTCCCTTCCTCCCCCCCTCCCCTCCCCCTCGCTCCCTCCCTCCCCTCCCTCCCTCCTCTCCCTCCCCTCTCTCCTTCCTTCCCTCCCTCTCCTTCCCTCCCTCTCTCCTTCCCTCCCCTCCTTCTCCCCTTCCCTCCCCTACCTCCCTCCCCTCTCCCTGCCTCTCTCCTTCCTTCCCTCCCCTCTCTTCTTCCCCCTCCCCTCACTTCCTTCCCTCCCTCTCACCTTCCCTCCCCCTACCTCCTCCCCTCTCCCTCCCTCTCCTTCCCTTCCCTCCCCTCTCCCTTCCCCCTCCCTCTGCTTCTCCCCCCCCCTCCCTCCTCACTTCCTCCCCTCTCTCTCCACCTTCCCTCCCTCCCTCTCCCACCCCTTCCTCCCCTCCCTCCCCTTCCCTCCCTCTCTCACCCCTCCTTCCCTCCTCACTTTCCCTCCCCTCTCTCTCACCTTCCCTCTCCCCTCTCTCCTTCCCTCCCTCCCTCCTCTCCTTCCTTCCCTCCCTCCTTCCCTCCCTCCCCTCTCCACCTTCCCTCCCCTCTCTCCTTCCCTCCCTCCCCTCTCACCTTCCCTTCCCTCCTCCCCTCTCTCCTTCCCTCCCTCTCTCTCCACCTTCCCTCCCTCCCTCTCTCCTTCCCTCCCTCCCTCTCCCCTTTCCTCCCCTCCCTCCCCTCTCCCTTCCCTCCACCTTCCCTCCCCTCCCTCCCTCTCCACTTCCCTCCCTCCCTCTCCCTTTCCCTCCCTCTCTCTCACCTTCCCTCCTCCTCTCTCCTTCCCTCCCTCCCCTCTCACCCCTTCCTTCCCTCCCTCCCTCTCTCCTTCCCCTCCCCTCTCTCACCTTCCCTCCTCCCTCTCCTTCCTCCCCTCCCTCTCACCTTCCTTCCTCCCCTCCCCTCTCTCCTTCCCTCCCTTCCCTCTCACCTTCCCTCCCCCTCCCCTCTCCTTCCCTCCCTCCCTCTCTCCTTCCCTCCCTCCCTCTCCTTCCTCCCTCCCCTCTCCTTCCCTCCCCTCCCTCTTCTTCCCTCCCCTCCCTCTCACCTTCCCTCCCCTCCCTCTCCCCCTTCCCTCCCCTCTCTCTCCCTTCCCTTCTCCCTCTCTCCTTCCCTCCCCTCCCTTCCCTTCCTCCCCTCCCTCCCCTCCCTCACCTTCCCTCACCTTCCCTCCCCCTCCCCTCCCTCTCTCCCTTTCCTCCCTCTCTCTCTTCCCCTCCCCTCTCTCTCATCTTCCCTCCCTCCTCTCTCCTTCCCTCCCTCCCTCTCACCTTCCTTCCCTCCCCTCCCTCTCCTTCCTTCCCCCCCTACCTCCCCTCCCCTCCCTCCCCTCTCTCCTTCCTTCCCTCCTCTCCACCTTCCCCTCCCTCTACTTCTCCCCCCCCTCCCTCTTCCCTCCCCTCCCTCTCCCACCTTCCTTCCCCTCCCTCCCCTCTCACCTCCTTCCCTCCCTCCTCTCTCCCTTCCCTCCCTCCCTCACCTTCCTCCCTCTCTCCCACCTTCCCTCCCCCTCCCCTCCTCTCACCTTCCCTCCCCTCCCTCTCACTTCCCTCCCTCTCACCCCTTCCTCCTCCCTCTCACCCCTTCCCTCCCCTCTCTCTCCCCTTCCCTCCTCCCCTCTCTTCCCTCCCTCCCTCTCACCTTCCTTCCCCTCCCCTCCTCTCTCCTTCCCTCCCTCCTTCTCCTTCCCCTCCCTCCCCTCTCACCTTCCCCTCCTCCCCTCTCACCTTCCCTCCCTCTCATCTTCCCTCCTCCCTCTCTCCTTCCCTCCCTCCCTCTCCCTCCTTCCTCTCTCTCTCATCTTCCCTCCTCCCCTCTCTCCTTCCCTCCTCTCATCTTCCCCTCTCCCCTCTCTCCTTCCCTCCCCTCCCTCTCTCCTTCCTCCCCTCCCTCTCACCTTCCTTCCCCTCCTCCCCTCTCTCCTTCCCTCCTCTTCCCTCCCTCCCCTCTCACCTTCCCTCCCTCCCCTCTCACCTTCCTCCCCCTCTCCTTTCCCTCCTCTCTCCTTCCCTCCCTCCCCTCTCCTTCCTCCCCCTCTCTCCTTCCCCTCCCTCTCTCCTTCCTCCTCCCTCTCACCTTCCCTCCCCCCTCTCTCTCCCTTCCCTCCTCCCCTCTCCTTCCCTCCCTCCCTCTCTCCTTCCCTCTCTCCCTCTCATCTTCCCTCCTCCTCTCCTTCCCCTCCCCTCCCCTCTCCCTTCCCTCCTCCTCTCCACCTTCCCTCCCTCCCCTCCCACCTTCCCTCCTCCCTCTCTCCTTCCTCCTCCCTCTCACCTTCCCTCCCTCCCTCTCACCTTCCCTCCCCTCCTCCCTCTCCTTGCTTCCCCTCCCACACGCCACTTTAAATATTTCGTCACATTAGTAAGCAGTTCCCTAAAGCCTAGTAATCAAAGGCATTTTACGTGGCCAAAACTCCAGCGGCACTTGCATAGCGATCAGGCAGGCCGGATGATCTCATATCCGGCTGTTTATAGAGGAGCAGGCCGGATGATCTCATATCCGGCTGTTTATATAGGAGACAGGCCGGATGATCTCATATCCGGCTGTTTATAGAGGAGGGCCGGAGGATCTCATATCCGGCTGTTTATATAGGAACGGGCCGGATCTCATATCCGGCTGTTTATATAGGGAGACAGGCCGGATGATCTCATATCCGGCTGTTTATATAGAAAGGGCGGATGATCTCATATCCGGCTATTTATATAGGAGACAGGCCGGATGATCTCATATGGCTGTTTATATAGAACAGGCCGGATGATCTCATATCCGGCTGTTTATATAGGAGACAGGCCGGATGATCTCATATCCGGCTATTTATATAGGAGACAGGCCGGATGATCTCATATCCGGCCGCCAATGCATCATGTCGTTTTAATAGCATCCGGCAGGCCAGACTCGACAGGAAGCTTGTCATCAGGTAGCCGGATCTCCTGCCGGATCACTAACACATCCGGCAGGTCATGGTGATAGTAACCGGCAAACCAGATGTATTAGTGATAAGTAATATAAGACGGTAATATAAATACAGGTTACGTTGATGATTCTGATACTCACCTGAAGATTAGATTAGGTTAGGTTAGGTTTGGTTAGGTTAGGTTTTGGTTAGATTAGGTTAGATTAGGTTTGGTTGGGTTAGGTTAGGTTAGGTTAGGTTTGGTTTGGTTGGGTTAGATTAGGTTTGGTTTGGTTTGGTTAGGTTAGGTTAGGTTAGGTTAGGTTTGGTTTGGTTAGGTTAGATTAGGTTTGGTTTGGTTTGGTTAAGTTAGGTTAGGTTAGGTTAGGTTAGGTTAGGTTAGGTTAGGTTAGGTTAGGTTAGGTTGGGTTAATTTAATGTTAGGTTAGGTTAGAATATACCTATCATTTTTAGGTGTTTAATCAGGTGAAATAAACTAGGGTGTCTAATCTTTAGGTGAACTATGAATAACATTACTAAGAAGAAATCCATAACTCACATCTGACGTGTCGTGTCGTGTTCTCACCCCACAGTATCACACACGACGGATGACCTGGTGTTCATCTGGGACCCGGAAGTACCCGTTGAGGTAGAGAGGAGTATCGAACTCCCTCAGCTGGACCTGGTCAAGAAATACACCGGCGATTGTACTCAGGTGTACTCAACAGGTAAGTACTATATTTTTTGTACTTTTTGTGTATTATTATGTACCAGGTCACGTGTAGGTACTGTATTTCACAAGCCAACCACGGTCTAGGGTAAATTCCCACGGTCTATGGTAAATTCCCACGGTCTATGGTAAATTCACGGTCTATGGAAATTCCACGGTCTATGGAAATTCCACGGTCTAAAATAAATTCCCATGGTTCTATGATAAATTCCCAGTCTAAAATAAATTCCCATGGTCTATGATAAATTCTCATGATCTAAAATATATTCCCACTAAAATAAATTCCCACGATCTAAATAAATTTCCACTAAAATATATTCCCACTAAAATAAATTCCCACTAAAATAAATTCCCACTAAAATAAATTCCCACTAAAATAAATTCCCACTAAAATAAATTCCCACTAAAATAAATTCACTAAAATAAATTCCCACTAAAATAAATTCCACTAAAATAAATTCCCTAAAATAAAAATTCCTATACTCCTGAAAACTGTGTGGAAGGGAGGGAAGGTTAGAGACCGGCAAGTCACACACGCTAACTCTGAGACAGATGACCCGTTTATTCAGGAATTTTCAGGATATCAGGTGATGTTACGCCACTGAGAACAATAGAGTGTTTGAGACAACCCCCCTCTCTCTCCTCTCTCTCTCTCTCTCTCTCTCTCTCTCTCTCTCTCTCTCTCTCTCTCTCTCTCTCTCTCTCTCTTATCCAGTCTGTCATCTAATGTGACTTCAAATCACCCCTGACTCACGAAGGAACTGACTCACGAAGGAACTGACTCACGGAGGAATTGACTCACGAAGGAACTGACTCACGGAGGAATTGACTCACGGAGGAATTGACTCACGAAGGAACTGACTCACGGAGAATTGACTCACGAAGGAACTGACTCACGGAGGAATTGACTCACGGAGGAATTGACTCACGAAGGAACTGACTCACGGAGAATTGACTCACGAAGGAACTGACTCACGGAGGAATTGACTCACGAAGGAACTGACTCACGAAGGAACTGACTCACGGAGGAATTGACTCACAGGAACTGACTCACGGAGGGTGACTCCTGAAGAACTGGCTCACGAAGGAACTGACTCACGAAGAACTGACTCACGGAGGAATTGACTCAGGAAGAATTGACTCACGAAGGAACTGACTCACGGAGGAATTGACTCACGAAGGAACTGGCTCACGAAGGAACTGACTCTGAAGGAACTGACTCACGAAGGAACTGACTCACGAAGGAACTGACTTACAAAGAACTAACTCAAGAAGGAATTGACTCAAAAGGAACTGTGTTTGAGTCAATGAGTGCTAGATTTTTCCCTTTAAAGAAAAATGGCCCTGCAACCTGCTCATCCTCAGGGCCATAGTCGTAAAAAATGGCCCTGCAACCTCCTCATCCTCAGGGCCATAGTCGTAAATAGCCCTGCAGCCTCCTCATCCTCCGGGCCATAGTCGTAAAAATGGCCCTGTGACCTCCTCATCCTCAGGGCCATAGTCGTAAAGTGGCCCTGCAGCCTCCTCATCCTCAGGGCCATAGTCGTAAAAATTGGCCCAACCTCCTCATCCTCAGGGCCATAGTCGTAAAATGGCCTCTGACTTCCACAAGATCCCGATTCGTAACCATGGCCCTCAACCTCCTCCTCCTCCTCAGGGCCTAAAATCTTAACCATGGCCTCCAACCTCCTCCTCCTCCGGGCCATAGTCGTAAAAATGGCCCTGTGCATATCCAGGAACGCAAGAGAACACTTCAAGCAAAAGCACAGTGACAAAAATTCTTTCCACAGTCTGAAGGGAAAAAATAAACTTGTGAAAGCACTCAGAAGCAGCAGCCGTCCCCAGGGCAGAGAAGGCGAGTGCAGGGAAAAAAACGGTGGGGAAAAAATCTTAGGGAGGAACCAGAAGGAACCAAGAGGAAGTAAAATATTAGGGAAGATAGGCCAGGAAAAAAAAAATAGGTGGGGAATAAACATAGAGAGAAACCAGGAGGTGAAATGAAACAAGAGGGAATAAACATGGAGGGAGAAAACATTGGTCTTGTGACGAGGAAAACCTATGACTTGAGGGAAAAAACGATGACTGAAAAAACCTACATATTCAGGAAAATCTACAAATTCAAGGACAAATCTACAAATTCAGGGAAAAACTACAACGAAATAAACCTGGCAATAACCTACAACTTGATGGAAAAACTACAACGAGGAAAAACTACAACGAGGAAAAAACTACAACGAGAAACTACAACGAGGGAAAACGACTTCGGGGAGAAATTACGACATCAGAGGACAGGAATCACAACAGAAGTGGGAAAGTTTTGAGGGGAACGAGGACAACACACGAGAACAACACGGGACAACCGAGGACAACACTCGAGGGCAACACACGAGGACAACACTCGAGGACAACACGGGACAACACTCGAGGGCAACACTCGGGGACAACACGAGGACAACACACGAGGACAACACTCGAGGGAACACGAGGACAACACTCGAGGACAACTACGAGGACAACACACGAGGACAACACACGAGAACAACACACGAGGACAACACACGAGGACAACACTCGAGGAACCACAGGGACAACACTCGAGGACAACACGAGGACAACACACGAGGACAAAGACAACACACGAGGACAACACACGAGGACAACACTCGAGGGCAACACACGGACAACACTCGAGGACAACACACGAGACCATTTCGAGGACAACACGAGAACAACACACGAGGGACCACACGAGGACAACCTCGAGACACACGAGGACAACACACGGGACAACACTCGAGGACAACACACGAGGACAACACTCGAGGGCAACACTCGAGGGCAACACTCGAGGACAACGCATGAGAACAACACTCGAGGACAACACACGAGGACAACACGGGGACAACACTCGAGGACAACACTCGAGGACAACACTCAGGGGCAACACACGAGGACAACACTCGAGGACAACACTCGAGGACAACACACAGGGACAACACTCGAGGGCAACACACGAGGACAACACTCGAGGGCAACACTCGAGGACAACGCATGAGAACAACACTCGAGGACAACACACAGGACAACACACGAGGACAACACTCGAGGACAACACTCGAGGGGACAACACTCGAGGACAACACTCGAGGGGCAACACACGAGGACAACACTCGAGGACAACACTCGAGGACAACACACTAGGACAACACTCGAGGACAACACACAGAGGCAACACTCAGGGGCAACACTCGAGGACAACGCATGAGAACAACACTCGAGGACAACACACGGACAACACACGAGGACAACACTCGAGGACACACTCGAGGACAACACTCGAGGGGCAACACGAGGACAACACTCGAGGGCAACACTCGAGGACAACACTCGGGGGCAACACAAGGGACAACACTCAGGGGCAACACTCGAGGACAACACACGAGAACAACACGAGGACAACACTCGAGGACAACACTCGAGGACTTATCAGGGGCAACACTCGAGGACAACACACGAGAACAACACGAGAACAACACACGAGGACAACACTCGAGGACAACACTCGAGGACAACACTCGAGGACAACACAGGGACAACACACAGAACAACACACGAGGACAACACTCGAGGGACAACACTCGAGGGGGCACTTACGGGGACAACACTCGAGGGCAACACTCGAGGACAACGCATGAGAACAACACTCAGGGACAACGAGGGACAAACTCGAGGGACAACACACGGGGACAACACTCGAGGGGCAACACTCGAGGACAACGCATGAGGAACAACACTCGAGGGACAACACACGAGGACAACACACAGGTGACAACACACGAGGACAACACTCGGGACAACACACGGGACAACACACGAGGGCAACACACGAGGACAACCGAGGACCGGGACAACACACGAGGACAACATTCAAGGGACAACACACGAGAGGACAACACACAGGGACAACACACGAGGACAACACACGAGTAAAACACAGGGACAACTGAGAACAACACACGAGGACAACACACGAGGACAACATAGGGACAACACTGAGGACCTTACGAGGACAACACACGAGGGAACACACGAGGACAACACTCGAGGACAACACACGAGGACAACACACGAGAACAACACACGAGGACAACACGAGGACAACACTCGAGGACAACACTCGAGGACAACACACAGAGGACAACACACGAGAACAACACGAGGACAACACACGAGGACAACACTCGAGGACAACACTCGAGGACAACCTCGAGGACAACACACGGGACAACACACGAGGACAACACGAGGACAACCACGAGGGACACGGGGACAACACTCGAGGACAACACTCGAGGACAACACACGGACAACACACGAAGGACAACACACAGGACAACACACGGGGACAACACACGAGGACAACACTCAGGACAACCTCGAGACAACACAGGACAACCTCGAGGACCAACCAAGGGAACAGCTGATTATCTACCTTGAACAATAACCCCTCCCCCCTCCCTCCCTCCCCCTCCCCTCCCCCATCCCATCCCTCCCCTCCTCATCCCCCTCACCCTCCCCCTCCCCATCCCCTCCCAATCCATCCTCCCCCCTCCCTCTCCCCTCTCCCTCCCCATCCCCTCCCCTCCCCTCCCCTCACCTCCCCTCCCCATCCTCCATCCATCCCCCATCCCCTCCTCCCCCTCCCCCCTCCCTCCTTGGTTATCTAGTCTAAGGATACACCGGAGGAGGAAGAGTGGGATAGGTCCAACAACAACGGAAAACAAGAGAACAAAAACAAGAACAAGAAGAACAAGAAGAACAAGAACAAGAACAAGAAAGAACAAGAAGACAAGAACAAGAAGAACAAGAACAAGACTCCATCAATCCACCAAATAGATGATCTTAGTCTTTTTTATTACTATTTCACCCAATCTATTTCCCCCAATCTCTTTCCCCCAATCTATTTTCCCCAATCTATTTCCCCAATCTATTTCCCCA